TGTTGCTCTTTTTAATAGATGTTTTTTTCTATAAATAATTACAGTATAACAAGTAAGAGGCATTCGATAATCAACATAGAAATCGCTACGCACTCATTACTAGTGTAATCAGTAGTTTGTGTAACATTTTTCTAAGAAACAATTTAGAAAAGTATAATAAGGTGGAGAAAAATAATAGATTCAAGATTCATGAGGAGATACATTATATAAAGAGAGCAACATGCGTGATTATATAAGGAGATCATATACATATAGAAGGAATTTGTCAGAAACAATATCCTATGTCGGACAAACAATATCCTTTGTCGGATAACAATATATTTAAATGCTACAAAAAAATATTAAATTTAAATGTCAAACAATAATAAAAAGATAATGATGTCGTAATAACAGAAAAACTACAACTTAAGTATATGCACTATAGTATAAAACTAATAAAACATTTCGTCAAATTTATCATCTAAAAAATTCGATATACTATAATAACATTAGTCAATCAATAGTCTCTTTAATTTATATTATATGTATAATAATATGGATGATTGTTGAAAGTATAATACTAGTCTTTAAGTAAGCGTATATATGTTGACGCCTCGGTGGTCTAGTGGTTTAGCACACCGCTTTACGTCCGATGGTCGCAGGTTCGATTCCTCGCACGGCACAAACATTTATATTCATGAGTATGATTGTGTCGGTCTGGGTGTTTTCTATGTATAATATGTATGTATTTACGAAAAAAAATATCTATGTATTTGTATCAGTTGTCTAGTACCCATAACACAAGTTTTAGCTAGCTTAACTTGGGTCTAGATGGCGCTGTGTGAATTGTCTTGAGATGATTATTATTATTATTATTATTTGTACATGTATTTCTTTTCTGTTTTTTAATATGTCACTTTGTATTGCTGGCAGCTTATACCCATCTATTTATAATCTATACATATAAATGAAATAGGAGTGTCTGTTTGTAATATTGAAATAACCGTTTTTTATTAATATAAATACGGTTCATACACCAAAATAACATTTTTTATAATTTTTCTCTGTCTGTCTGTTTGTTCTGGCTAATTTCTGAAATGGCTGGACCGATTTTGACGGGACTTTTGCATGTAGCTGATGTAATAAGGAGTAACTTAGGCTACTTTTATTTTGGATTTTTTTTTATTTTAGTTATTTAAAGTTAGATCATAGTCACGGGCACAGCTATTATAATAAATCGCTTCGCTATAGATGTAGTAAATACTGTAAATTAATAATTAAAGCAATAGCTTTAATAATTCCAAATCTGTAACTGGAACTAATTAAACTAATAAACGATTATTTAATATTCTAACAAATATTTTAACAGCCGTTAATCAAACTAGTCATTATAAAAACAGAGTGTTAAATTTAACTATATAACTACTTGATCCATAAACAACAACAATCAGAAATAGAATATTTCATACACTTAAAACATAAACGAGCAAGTACCATAAGGATTATTGGACACTGTTAACTAAAAAAAATTTATTATGATAATAATCTCAGGACAATTCACACGGCCATCTAGACCCAAGTTAAGCTATCTAAAGCTTGTGTAACACAAGCTTTAGTAGCTTAACTTGGATTTTTTTTATAAATACATACTTATTATAAATAGAAACCCAGACACCAACAATTATAACCATGAATACAAATGTTTGTTCCGTGGAGGATCGAACCCGCGACCATTGGATATAAGGCGATGTGGTACACCACTAGACCGTCAAGTAAATACTTCAATGTATTAATTTAAATTAATTATGGCTAGTAAGATAAACTAAATATTGTTGAAGTATAATACTAGTGACACAGTTGAGATACGGCAGTGCTTAGACTGCCGTATCTCAACTGTGTCACCCCACCTTACATTTTCTTATTGTTATCAATACATATAAATAAAATTGGAGTGTCAGTTTGTAATATTGAAATAACTACATGCATATGAATATAAATAAGGTACATATACCAAAAAAACACTTTTTACAATTTTTGTCTGTCTGTCTGTTAGTCTCTTTGTTCCGGCTAATCTCTGGAATGGCTGGACCGATTTTAACGGGACTTTTTTTGGCAGGTAGCTGATATAATAATACTTAGTAACTTAGGCTACTTTTTTTTATGAAAAATCTTTTATTCTAGAAAGATAAAGTTATTTTCGGGATTAGCTAGTTTAGTATATAAGACGATATTTTTATATAAAAATTCACTACCATATGTTATATACACATTCAAAATTATTAGGTAGGATTGATAAAAGCAATGTAAATCTAAACATATAAATAAAATTGGAGTGTTTGTAATATTGAAATTCCACACCAAAATAACATTTTTTACTTTTTCTGTCTGTCTGTTTATTCCGGCTAATCTCTGAAATGACTGGACCGATTTTGACGGGACTGTTTTTGGCAGGTAGCTGATATAATAAGGAGTAACTTAGACTACTTTGATTTTAGAAAAATAAAGTCAAATTCCACTCAGACGAAGTTGCGGAAACAGCTAGTAATTAAAAAAAACTTGTAAATTTATGTCCGGGACTATGCTATTCCTAGCTAGGAATAGCATCGTATAGCTATACGATGACCGCCCAATGAAAAGAGGTGGGAAGGTAGATCAAAAAAGAAAAAAATAAACATCGACTGAACCGACAACATCGTATTACTATCCCGCAAGCAAAAGAAGCAATCATTACCATGGAATAGAATAGAATAGAAAATCATTTATTCAAATAAACTTAATTTAAAAAATGTTGACTATTCAAAAGTGCTTAACACTTTTGAATAGTCAACATTTTTTAAATCTACCGCTTATTTGGAAAGCTGTCTCATCACAAGAAGAATAAGCTAGAAACTTGTGTGTTGCTCTTTTAAACAATCCTTGTAAGTTCACATTTTACAAGTCGAAACGTGTGAATACAAACTACCAACCAGCACTAATTTATTTAGGCTCAAATATAAAAACACAATATGATTAAATCAGTCGTAGTGATAAGAGCAGACCAGTCCCTACAAGCAGCACTCGTTCACGAGTATGACGGATGAGCCAGCCATGATATTTTAGGGAGCCCAATGACCCGGCCCACCACGCCGTCACATGTCTGGACATTTTAGTGAGCATGACTAACAATATAATTAGACAACAACAATATAATTTCGAAATAATTTCAATGCCACAAATTATAATAAAAACTGCTTTAAATTCATCGTTCATCGTTTAGTCGATTACTTGTATCACCATACTGGCTACCTGTTGACCCTAACCTTTATTTGAAACAGTTTCATATACGGAAAGTACGTACGTTTAATAAGGAAACTATTACCGAATGTTATATCGTGAATACTAAAGTGGCTTGCACCTCTTGTACTTCTTACCAAATTGCTTTCAAAATTACACGCGCCATGTTTTTTTAGATTCATCTAAAGAACATTATATTTATTTCTTCATCACCGTACCACCCGCCAGAAACTGAAATACCATCCTGGTCATCTGGATGAATGGCGGTCTTACATAGTGCGGTTTTATAGAAACTTTTTGCCTCGCACAACCACATTGTGGAATCACCTTCCAGCAATGGTATTTCCGAACCGATACGATATTGAAACCTTCAAGAAAAGAGCTTATTCCTTTTTAAAAGGCCGACAACGTACTTGCAATTCCCCTGGTGTTGCGGGTGCTCATGGGCGGCGGTAATCACGTACCATCAGGTGAGGGGCATGCAAGTCTAAACGATTTCAACAATGAAGGGATATATCTGTAATTTGTGATTTGCTATAGCAGTTCAAATGAAACCTACAGTTATCGTTTTTTTTTATTTCTCCCGTTTTTCAATAGCAGATAGACATACATTCAGTTCTGTAGTCTTATAAGGATACTATTATTTTTCTATCCATTGCTAATGTTTTAGAAAAAAAGATCTATATGTAGTCAAATGGACAAAATCAAATCAAATTATCTTTATTTCTGTACGTCTATTACAGAGTCCTATGATGTGTTATATTTACCATCAGTATGGTATACATTAGAGCTTTTTTTTTATTATACCACGTAGGTGGCAAACAAGTATATGGCCCATCTGATGTTAAACGGTTACTGTAGCCTATAGACGCCTGAACACCAGGGGTGTCACATGCGCGTCGCCGACCCTAAAGAGCTGAGAAGAACTGAAGAAACTCAGCTCTTGTACTTTTGAAATAAGTTTGTACATGCTTACAAAATACTGATTCATTTTTAAATTCAATTAGGGAGAATATATTAACTGTCTGCATATGCTATTGCATTTTTGTCAATAGGAAATAATGCAATCTGTGGTCTGCCGAACAGACCTGACCCACAAACAGCACCCGTTTACGAGTATGACGAATAAGCCATTGGCACAACATACTGGACACATAGGAAAGGAATTGTTAGTAATGTGGACTAATGACCTCATGATCAGCAACCTACCACGTCTGGTGAACCTCCACGCGCTTCTAGTAACCATGCATGTTATGGATATGAAATTTCGGATACGGATAGGTTTTGGATATAGGAATGATTATTATACCGGATACGGATGCGGATATGAAATTATTTCGGATTATCCATTAGTTTCGGATAATTTCGGTTACGGATATTATTTTTTAAGGAATTTCAAAAGTAAAATACAAATAGCTAATAAAATGGTTACATAACGTGTCTCAATTAGGCTCCGCCTCTATCCGATATTATCCGAAACTTTTATTTCGGATTCGGTTACGGTTACGAATATTTTTTTATATCGGATGTCCGATAGTTTTGGTTACAGTTACGGAGCACCCTAGCATCTCTGCTAGAAACCATAGTGATAAATTCTTGGTGAATTTATGACGATGGGCTAACTGACCTGACCTCGTCTTCATCTCACCATCATTGATGCCCCGCAAATGTAAACCATTTGGGCAGGCGGGTGCACCATTTTATTATCATCTCTGAAATTTATTATAGTGTCGTCGATTTTTTTATAGGCAGTGAGTGAGGCTAACAGTGGTAACACTTGGGTGCAACGGCAATTGTCGCGACTAACTCGCAACCTCCGGTACCGCTTCAACGGAGAAGGTCGCGCCAAACCCCCCGACTGGTTCCTGGACAAGTTCGCTGCTCAGACCTTCACGGATCCTGAAGAACCACTGTATCAAGCCAAACGATCCAAGCTACTATGTGGCCTCAAGTTGGCTTTCGATCCTACTCTACCGGCCCACTACCACGTAAGTTACCATTGAGTACCGTTGTTAATAATACATGGGTAATAATTAGTGTGACTCGTTTCATTTTGTATTTGAATGCACTTGGCTTTTTTGTAGTATCTGTTTTGTTTTTCCACAGTCTTTCTTTTTTAATATTTCAGCTTTTCTCATAATACATGCTAACAAAATTTAGAAATACAAATTATTCTTATTAGCATCACAATTAAGCTATGTTCAGCAAATCAATAAAAAATATAATCTAAAATCATTCATTGGACATTGGACATTTTACTCTACCGTCCAATTTAGTATGCAGTATGTAATATTAAGTAATATGTCGTATGCAGACTCAATTGAATAAAATAAAAGTCTTTTTAATCCGATTCGTTTCGAATACGTCATCAATATATTATAGTAAATGTACCATGTCAAATTGTCCTTCACGTCCCTTGGGAACCATCGTGATAAATTCCTGGTGAATTTATCACGATGAGCTAACTCATATTCGTATTATCACCCTCCACTGGTGCCCCGCCAGCGTAAACCGTTAGCGCGGGCGGGTGCACAATTCCATTATCATCCATAAAAAAACATATATTATATTATAGTTTTACATAGATTTTAATTTTGTAACTATCAAGTTGTTCAATACAGATTTATCATTTTTAAATGTTGTTAATGATTTATTTAGAAATATTTTCCTCCATAGAATTTTTCATAATATTTTCATTATTATAAATCTCCCCAATAAATGCAGCAGTTTGAACTAGCCCACGCTTCCACGGGCGCTTTGAAAAGATTGCATTCATTATTCCCGTACTGGGTCACTAGTTCTTACATAATATAGTCACTCTCGTTTCACGTATTTGTATACGATTATGTCTATTGTAGTCTTGGGACAGATGCAATAATACTTTATTGTAATGTCCGCTTAGTACCATTTTTACATCCATCTTTTATATGACAAGTTTTATTTTTTTTAATAAAATTTATTGTATTGTAACAGTATTTAGATATTAGCAAGTATTGTGTGGAGTCTGTAGTTGTACTATTTACTTGTCTTTGTGCTAACTGATGAATTCTCCATAGTCTTGTGTTCAAACGACGACGAAACCTTGCGAAGTATAGATACATAATACGTAAATAAATTCAATATAACATCAGTTTAAAAACCACTTATGATAACTCAATATTAACATTGTCTGCAAATGCCCACATAAAAAGCGTATGTAAAATTAATCCGTGTTAATATTGTAAATAAGGAGGTACTTGGTAAACTATTGCGTTCTGAATCATGAGAAGGAGTAAACAAAATATTAGTATTAGATCAATTGTTACTTGTTCACAGTGGCTGGCGGTGGTCTCTTTGGCTATATTGTACAATGTGGTGTTTGTCATTGGCCGCGCTGTATTCTGGGAATTGGACAACCTTACTTCATTCTGGTTTATCCTGGACTACCTATGCGATACCATCTACCTGGTCGACACCGTCGTACACATCCACGAAGGTTTGTAAGAGGTTATCATATAATATTTAAGTTCTTGCGGCGTGACCTAATTTACAATTCCCAATCCCGTTATGAAATATGAAATCCCGTTGCCCAAAATTAGGCCAACATAAAAATTACATATTTTTGACTAACTCACAGATGATACTAATTAAAGTAAAGGACAAAATGCTCGTTAATTGAATGCAGAAACAAAAGAATTAATCGGTGAGGTTTACACCCGGGTTGAATTCAAATATTCAGCGAATAGTGGACATAACAAGTGGCACTGTCTCATCTATTACAATTATTGTTCTTTATAATGCTCTTTTCGATTCGATTAATGAATAATTTGATATTTTATGGGAATTAACTATATGTCCTTTAACATTTGCTGAGCGTCGGTATATATGTAAAACATGAAGAATGTGCACGACCCACCCGCATAGTGAGCGAATGTCTTTGAATTTCAAATGCAAATTTTGTAATCTATGCGAGGATCTGATAAAGTAATCTAATTATTTTCAACCTTGACAAGTTGCAGTGATCATTAGATATAGGCGATACAGTCTAGAGAGGTAGGAAACATACAAACTCATCTGCCGCAGTACCTCAGTCTCAACTATTTAAGTGACCAAAAATCCATTGCTTAGTAAGCTGTATTTCGGTAAGAAATCTCTGAAACACATTAATAAAATTGGAGTGTCTGTTTGTAATATTGAAATAACAGTTTTTACTACATGCATATGAATACGGTACATAGGTACATCGAAAAAACATCTTTTACGATTTTTGACCGTCTGTTGGGCGGATTTTGACGGGACTTCTTTTGGCTGGTTACATCCGTTACCAGCCAAAAGAAGTCCCGTCAAAATCCGTCCAACAGACGGTTAAGGCATAAATTGGCTACTTTTATTTTAGAAAAAATAAAGATAAATTCCACGCGGGCGAACTCGCGGGAACAGCTAGTTTTGTAATAAAATCAGTTACATTTATGTGTAAGTATATATTTTTATAGAGCGATGTGTAAAGTTAGATGAGTAAGTGAAAGTATAAATTTATAAAACCAACTACATTCTAATAATACCATATCCTTACATTAATTCTTCTTACATTATTGTATGCCTTTCTTTATTGAATCAATATAATTTTATTACTGTCTATACTCTATGTAAGAGAGTAGGTACATTCTAGCTGTTGTCAAATTACTCGTGGCTCGGTCTATTGACTGGCGTCCACAATATTTGAGTATCGTAGTAATTATTAGTTTTACCAACAGTAACCTTACAACGGGGGAAAAAGGGATTATTAGTAACGGGGTCACGGTTGCTAGCTAAGGTTGTCCACCTTTGTTGGTTTATATCTGGTGAATTTACTACGATAAGCCGATTGATATGACTTCATCATTGATTAAGTGCCTGTATTTAAACATCGGCAATGCATCTATCAAAAAAATTGTAAGCATGTACATACCCACAACATCATAGCAAAATACCTTTTAACCTATCAAGTAAGCGATCCGTTAATTATAATGTAAACAAATATATCAATATAACATACAGATAATGAATGCATTTTTATTTCTGTGTAATTCTACGAGCTGTGTAATCACGTAAGTTCCGGAAATACAACATTACTACGGACAGAAAGTCTACATGTAATTAAGTATACGTCATTCATTAAAATAGATTATTCGGAAACTCCCCCTGGAGTTCCGCATGGATAGGTCTATGACATTGCCACCAAATGTAATACAAACGATAATGAAGTTAAAATTAATATGCATACAAAACAAAATCAAACGCACACGAGCTGTTCGTTTGATCACACAAGTATATCCATTTGTAAATTTATATTCATCGCAGAAACACATTTTGATATTAGATAGGTGGTAATTAAAAATCTAATAATGTTTCCTGACACCATCAACTGGTGTATATCCTCAGGAACTGTTATTACTCACAGCAATGTGAGTTACGGTATTGGCTACGATGCGAACACCACAAATCAACAATTTGACACCCACACACAAAGCCGCGCCCTGCGTCATCAAATTTAGCTAACGTGTAGACAAACATTCGACCCTGCCTAGTTGCTTTTTCCGTACAAATATTGCACTGCGGCTCTCTGCTCTGATACGATCCTTCACAACTCGTGAATAGTGTGATTGATCGTTTCCATGTATATCTATTTTTTAGGAACCTCTTTATAGGCCATGTCAATTATGTGCTATAAGTTTAGGTTTTTAGATATGGCTCTTAAACAAGTCTGTACAACGAGAATTTGGGCTTTCGTGCGGGATACTATAATATCCAAAAAAGTGCGATATTACTAATATAGATGCTGTTAAAAAAATCTATAAATATCTATTGTGTATAATTTTATTTATGCATATATAAAACTATCATAAATATAATAGCTACTAGTGATAACTTTTCTATTTTCGCAGGTTATTTAGAACAAGGGCTCATGGTTAAGGATTCTAAAATGCTAAGGCGACACTATCTTAAATCTGATGCATGGAGATATGATTTCATATCTCTACTACCCACAGATATCGCGTACTACTGGTGGAAACCTGGAACATGCGACTATGTTAGTATTCTTAGTTTTTCCAGAACCGTAATTGTAACATCTATATGCCAATAGAGCAACAAGAATTATTCCAGCGGGACATTATTTAACTTTGTTATTACTCAAGCGTCAATATTGGTTGTGTTTCAGAAACGTTTGCCGTGCCCTGTTATTGTACGTCTCAATCGGCTGTTTCGCTTGCCTCGAATGTGGGTGTGGTTCGATCGGACTGAGACCGCCACTAGCTATCCAAACGCTTTCAGGATATGCAAGGTTATAAACGTATAAATTTATCACTCAATTATGCATATTTCAGATGATTTAATAATCTTTAACATAATATTTCTTCTATTTTAGGTCGTTATGGCAATACTTGTACTTATACACTGGAACGCATGTCTCTATTTTGCTATAAGCTACGCAATAGGATTCGGCACGGACAATTGGGTTTACAATTTAACTGGCGCCCGTAATGAGTCGCTCGCTCATCAATACATTTACAGCTTTTATTGGTCTACTTTAACTCTCACTACTATCGGAGAAACGCCACAACCAGAAATCGATGCCGAGTACCTGTTTGTGGTCGCAGATTTTTTAGCCGGAGTTTTAATTTTTGCTACTATTGTGGGAAATATTGGTTCAATGATTTCAAATATGAATGTAGCCCGAGTGGAGTTTCAAAATAAAATGGATGGTGTTAAACAATACATGGCATTCAGAAAAGTTAGCGGTGAACTAGAAGCCAGGGTTATTCGATGGTTTGCATACACGTGGGCTCAAAGTGGGGCATTAGATGAAGAAAATGTGTTGTCCTCGCTTCCCGATAAATTGAAAGCAGAAATTGCAATCAGAGTTCATTTGGATACGTTGCGTAAAGTAAGAATATTTCAAGATTGCGAACCAGGTCTATTGGAGGCACTTGTGTTAAAACTTCGGCTTCAAGTTTTCAGCCCGGGAGATTATATTTGCCGCAAAGGAGATGTAGGAAAAGAAATGTATATTGTTAAAAGAGGAAGGCTCCAAGTAGTCGCTGATGATGGAAAAACAGTTTTGGCAACATTAAGTGCAGGTTCTGTATTTGGAGAAGTAAGTGTTTTAGAAATAGCTGGAAATCGTACTGGTAACCGACGAACTGCTAATGTCCGTGCTTTAGGCTATTCAGATCTATTTTGTTTGGCCAAAAGAGACCTTTGGGAAGCTCTCGCTGACTATCCCGATGCGAGAACTACACTTACTGAACGAGGCTGTCAACTATTAAGAAAGGTATGTTTTATTCGATACATTTCATTTCAATGATTATATTACACATTTGTATTACATTCTTCTAATATTTTGTTATATTAATATTTGACAGGATGGCTTACTTGATGAGAATGTATTTGAAAGTGCACAGTGTACACAACAAAGCTTGGAAGAAACCGTACAAAAGCTCGAAAATCATGTAGACTTGTTACATAATCGCTTGCAGGGAATACTGACAGATGTTGGCGAGGAACAAGCTAAAATGAAACAAAGGATGAACGAAATAGAAGTCAGGTTAGGAACTAAACAAAAGCGTTAATTAATATATTTTACTAGACGCAATATTTCGCAAATTGCGACATCTAATATTATGTATTGTGTAATTCATAAAATTTGCTTACGCGAATGTAATTTTCCTACAAATTAATGTTTATTTTTTTAATATAAATAATAACTTTTTTAGAGTATTGGATGAAGACGAAGGCGAAGCAACTGATACGGATGACATTACATCCCTGGAAGCATCAGAACTTAGAAGCGAAGCAGCGAGGTGCGGTGAAGCTTCAGGCTATAGCGAAATACATCTCAGCTCAATTCAGGATAATTCAATATTTCTCCATAGCAATCCATTCCCCATTCGAGAACGTGGACATTCCCTTAGCGTTGAAAGGTCTCCAAGTTTACTAGAACTTACACCAGAGCCACGCAGTAAGTCTTTGCGTATAAAAAAGAATGACAAAGATTCAAAGTGAACAAAAGTATAAAACACTAAAATAATGAGTTTTAGGACGATACCAATATTGTGTTGAAATTTTATGATTTGTAAAGGTCTACAAAAGTTATTTTTGATAGTATTTTATTGGTCGTATTGAAGATTTGTTTTAACTGATATTTGATTTTTTTCTAAAAATAACAATCGAAATAGTTACAGCAAACATTCTCAGTACGTTTTCGAATAAATAATTTATACGTAACAATACAGTAATTGTTTTAAAAGTACATGAAATTGATGAGAATTTAGTGAAACTAATTTGTTTTGTTCAAAATTACGTTCAGTTACAGGTTTATTAGTAGAAATCTTACATAAAATTTAATAGAGCTATTTCCTCCTAACAGCTTAAAACAGTTCATTGATGCTTCTACCTAACGCCGCTTCAGTCCTATATTTATAATTAAGTAATATTACGTAGATGTGCAATAGATGTAATGTTCTCTTTATGGAAGTAAATCTAGTCTACTTTCTTTCTAAACTGGATGGATTTCTTTTATATAATATATACAATAGAACTTAATGTTTTATAGAATTGATTCCAATAGCTGTAAGGAAAGCAACTCATAAAAACTCTTTCGACCACATCATTACTGCTTAATGTGAAACTTTCTGCATGTACCTTGTAATAGTTATGTCTAACCTGAAATTTTTCATTCCACCAGAATTTGAATAAATTAAAAATATATAGGGCCAAAACATTCAAAGTCTGATAAAAACTTCAAAAAGTACAGAATGCAATGGAGACATGTGTGGAATATATTCTCTATAAATCTTTTTATATCTACATCCTTATATGGGTAAAGTTTTTTCTAAAAATATACAAAAATTTATTATAGATAATGACCTTTTAGATAGTACCTATATGTTTAAAAAATGTGATAAATACGTGCAATTTTCAGCTTAATGCAACCAAATATAATACTGACATTTCCAGAGCCTTCCAAATTGCCAATACGCAATACCGCTGATTATAAATTTATTCAGAAAACATTTCGCAAGTTTCCTAAAAATATTTGTCGGTCAACAAATATATTATGAAAATTTATAATTTATATTGATGTAATATTCTAAAAAAGTCTCAATATCCACTAGATAAGTGTCTCGATTATGCATTATTATCACTTCCTAATTCCAGTTAAACATTTGATGTTAAATGATTATCTTAGTTTAAGACATGAATTACTAGAATCTGTATGATGTAATCAATTTTAGACGAGTTTCAGTGTCTATTATATAAATGTATCTTCATTGGGCTGAGTTTCAGACTACAGTTAAAGAATTGATGTTTAATATTGTCATTTAATGTATTATTAAAATTTAGAATCTGTATCTCTATAATATTCAACTTTAGAAAAGTTTCAGTGTCTACTAATTAAACGTATATTCATCAAATATTCAGATATAGTAGTTATTAAATATTCACATTTATCATATTAACTAATAGTTTACTAATTGTTCTCGATGGATATAATATTCGATTCTAACCAGTTTCAGTGTCTATAATGAATAAATGTATTCTCTTGAATGTTCATATGTTAGCAGTTAAATTAATATTGTCATTTATAATCCTAATAAATATTAGAAATTAAAATCTGTATCGATGTAATTCCATATTAGACAATTCCACACTGAATTGTCTATCTCGATTGGGCCAAGTTTTCAGGTAGATCTGATATCATGACAGGCTAGGAATGTGCATTGTACGGCTTCCACTTAATGTAACAGGCTTACAACGAATGCAGTTGATGATCTTGATCCTTAATGATTTCAATGAATTATTACAAATTGGAATCAATTATTTTTACTTAACTTGCAGATTTTAGGTTCAGAATATTTAGGTACAGAACTATTGTCAAATATATATATATAAAGTATGATATACAAGTCTGAGTTAATATTTGTTATAATTATAATAAAATCATGTTGTACACGATTTACTTTGTAATATTTATAAAAGTGGACATTTATTTAAAAGATTTGAGGCAAATAACCAATATTGAAGAATTTTAATTTAAGTACTACACAAATACCAAATATAATAATGATTGTAAGTCATTGTAGTCAGATAAATATATTTTATTTAAGTCTCTTTAACTGTAATATTAATTTATTCAAATAATGATACTATAAAGTATACAAAACAAGTGTCAATGGAAAGTGGCTTTAAGAAGTGGAAGTATATAAACGTGAATTGGACGAGCAAACGACGCAAGGGTGAGATTTTTATATGGAATTTTTAAATTCTGGATTAGTATGTAGTTCTATGTATATGATATTCAAATTCTTTGTAAAGAAGGAATTGATTTGTAATCTATAATTGTATTCAATATAGTGTAGTAGAGTAGAATGAATTATTGTTAAATATTAAAAAAAAAAAAACTAACAGTGGCTACCGAGGTATACTTGCTGGGGAAATGTATTGGATTTGTCAATTAAGTATTTGTGAAATTAAACCTATTCAAAATGAAATGAAGACGAAAATTGAGTTTATGTTTCAAATTAAAGAATTGTCTAATCAGATGAAAATTATAAACACTACAGAACTCGGAAATATTGATAATGCAGAAGCAAAGAAAGAAGTATCTTTAGCATAAGTAGGTGCATAACTGAGTACTAATACAAAATTATACATTCAACATACATTATTTACGCTTGTATATTTCGTAAAGGTTCAATTACATGATGAAACTAAAATATCGGTTCTACACTTCTACTGCGTACCTTCAATTAAAAGTTTTACTTGTACACCCCTCTGACTCTAGTTACAATAGTTGCTAGTTTCAGAAAGGTGAAAACAGTTTCTAGTCAAAATATCGTGGCTTGAGTAAATGATTGTCACGTTCACAATGAAACCGAGCTATGATTTACAATATTCAAACTTAACTAATGAGAACCGACTTTCATAACTAGCTCCGCGAAGATAGTGTATACTGCAACACTAGTTTCATAATGCAAATTGGACTTTATTTCGACGGTTGTTTTTAATTGTTTAGAGGACTCGATATTTCTGTAAATGATACTGGAATGAAAATTAGCGGAATTGTGTTTAACAGCCTTGAGAAGTCGGTTGAAACTGTTTTAAATAAATTATATCTGAACTGGCCTAATGTTTTTCTTTTCTTTATCCTTGACGACATCTTTGTAAATAAAAAAATTTGTACCCCTGAGTACATAATTTTATAGTACGAATAGAAATAATATTTAACAAAAAAATGTATTTAAAATTGCACTATTTTATTTAAAAGAAATAAAAGGTCTTGACGAGAGAAGCTTAGAATTGGTCTTAAGATAACGTGATCTGTTAAGGAGGTACAATAAGGCGCAGCCAGGAATCGTCAGTGTTGATGTCTTGATGTCGGTTTTAAAGGTAAAATAGATAGATTCTAGTAAAACGAAAAGCAATTAATACAAAAAGAAAAGCATAAATGTCACATCATGAAATGTATGTTGACTGACACTAGTTTTCTGCACTCTCCTAGAGGTGAGGTCTGAACCCCTCCCCAGGACGAACCCTTTTACCCCGAGATCAACTCCGGGGGTAACTGGGTTGTCACCCATTTGGGGCGGGTTCCTATAACTATGTATATATCAGACTGGACCGAAGTACAATGTAGTATGGCCAACTGGAACAATTCGTGAGAACGTATACCCGAGAGTGGTTCTCATAATCTCTCCGCTGACTTAAACTGGTATATGTTAATGATTCAGACACCACCACTATAACCCAGGATGGGTTATAGTGGTAGTGTCTGAATAGTGTCACGATCAAACTCTGCTTCATCGCTCCACGTCTAAAGGAGGCATCGAATTCAAGAACCCCGAGAACTTTTTTTTTATTTATTTACTTAAAACAAAAACATGTGTACTAATTTACTTATTGTCTAATAAAATTTACCAAATATTTAAATTTACCAAAACAAAGAAAATTTAACTGATAAAGAAAAAGAAACTATAAAAAAGTATAGAAGAAAAGGAGCCTATGCCTGTATTTGATATATATATGTGTAAGCATTATGCGTATGTGTTTGTGCGTGTCTATGTGTGTGTTTGAGTGTATGTGAGAGAAAGAGGAGTGGGGTCTATGATTACTAAAGTGGTGAACTCCTCCTACACTGGTACTGGTGGTAGGTATCGGACCTCTCTTACATAGAAGAGAGGTCCGATACCTAAGTTACAATGGTTTTAATATTAAAATGTTTTATATGGATGATAATGGTATGGTTCACCCGCCTGCGCTAACGATTTACGCTGGCAGGGCACCAGTGTCATCACCAGGATGATTGTATGAGCATGAGATCAGGTCAGTTAGCCCATCGTAACAAATTCACCAGGAATTTATAACGATTTTTTTTTTAAGTCAAGTTGACATGGTACTATGCTAGCAGTGGAGTCATCAGTCCACATGACAAACAATTCCCTTCCCCACTGCCCCCCCCCCTCCTAATAAATGAATTAAAAATATAGGAAACATAACTGTGTAATACTATTATAATTAAAAACAGTAAAGAGGGTAGGTAGACTTTCTTATAATAATCATAATAAATTCGAGAATACAAAATATATGATAAAAAAAAAATAATCTCAGCACAATTCACACAGCGCCATCTAGACCCAAGTTAAGCTATCTAAAGCTTGTGTTATGGTGTGTACTAGATTAGTGACACAAATACATAGATATTCTTTTTTCGTAAATACATACATATTATACATATAAAACAACCAGACTGATACGAACAATCATACTCATGAATACAAATGTTTCTGCTATCCGTGGAATCGAAGCTGCGGTCATCGGACGTAAAGCGGTGCTAAACCGCTAGACAGCCGAGGTCGTCAATCCAAATTCTTGAATCAATAAATTTAATTCCATTTCTTCCTTGGATGTCTGGTTGCTCCACGTAGTCGCTGGTCGGTAAGTATTACAACTAGTGCATATGATGCCAGTTTTTAGAACCGAATAAGCAAAATAACAGTACTTTTATGTATATGCTCTGCTCTTATTACTACAAGACTGG